AACAAAGAAAAAATGAAAGGAAATCAAATTCTAGGACATTACTTGAAGGGACTAAAGATCAAGATTGTTAAAAGTAAAAGAAAGGAATATAAGTTAGTTTATTTGATCAAGGTTAAAATAGATACATTGTTATCTCTGGTACCTTAATGGATTTTTGCTGACATCAGGACTGAATGATGAGGCTTTAAGGATTTGTTTATAGATAAGAGACGGGATATGGGAAGAAGAGATCATTTGTTGTATTTTAAGAGAAGGTGATAAGGTACTAAAATTGTTTATACTTGTGATGAAGGAGGAAGTCATTTCTTTATATATTTCTTTTCTTTTTCCTTACTATATTCTTATTTTTCTTTCTTTTCTATTTTCTATTTTTTATTTTCTGTACTTTCTATTTTTATTTTAGTTTGTATTACTTTTTATCTTTTAAATTGTAACTTTTAATAAAATTACTATAAAAATGTGATTTACTTGTTTGTGGCTTAATGTGATATTTGAACCCAGGCACCATAGTTTATAAATCATAGTTTCTTATTTAGCATGTTTCTTACTTACCCAGCCAATTGCAGTTTAATTCAGACCAGTGTACTATCAATTAAATAATAGATATTCCTGTGCATTTAACACCATCGTTGGGGGCTTTAGCTGTTTTAATTAACACACTAAATTTAGTTTGATAGTTTAAACATAATTTCTCCCCTCAAATTATGAAGCTTCTGTGCCCCCACCATTGCCTTTGCCTAATATGATTATTTAAGTGCTAAAAGTGCAGTTTGACACAAAATAATATATAAATCATTAACTAGTTATCTTACCTGACAGATTATGCATACCCTTGGAGTCTCCAATGCAAACTAAGATTCCTATGCCTTCTCTGACGCCATCTACCCAGGAGAAGAGGGAGCTGTATGACTGGCCTAAAATCTGAAGCCTGTTGACAGCTAGCACTGCAATAACACTTTTGCGGAAAAGGTGTATCCAGCCTCTGGAATGCCTTTTCTTCTTCACCTTGCTGTTGCTTTGCTTCCTTTCCTCAGTTTCACACAATGCACTGGCCAGTGTCCTGATCTCCTGCTTGAAAATGTCACAGGTGTTGACCTGATCCTGAAGAACATCTCTCTGGGTAGATAGGGCACACGACCGACAGTAGAGGGGGTACAGTGCCCCAGACAACAGTGCGCAAGCTGCCAGCAGAGATGTGTGTTCTTTCTGAGACTGTGCCAACAAAGCTTTGAGGTGTGAATTCTCTAGGAGTAATTGCTCTTGAATTTTTTCAATAGCAGAGAACTTCTCTTTGGCTTTTTCTGCCATTTCTTGGTATTTCTGTATTGGATAGAGGAAAAAGATTTTAACTACAGAATGAAAATTGACCAGTCTACTACTTATCAGTCTAGAGTAAGTGAAACTGACCTACTTTATTTACATCTATCCTGTGAAATGTGTTAGGCTGAGAGTTGGCTGAGTAGGCCAAAGTCACCCAGTGATTCTCATAGCGAAGCAGGGATTTAAAAATAGGTCTACCATTCTAACCAGTACATCACACTGGCTGTATCAAAATATATTTCTACCAATAGATGACTGAGCTCTGATATTCAGCCTCAAGGCCACCATATCATCAGTAAACTATCCATAAATCCCATCTCCTGGATAAATCACATAGTTGTCCTAAACTGCAATGGTCAAGATGCACATTTGTGAAACGAAGTAGACTTTAAACATTATAGCAACAATAATTTTTGTTTTGTTGCTACACTATGTAATATATATCACAGTCTCTTCTCCTTCTCCAATAAAGAAACATATTTGTACCTAGTGATATGACAATGAATATTCAATGTTGGAGTTGGAGAGCCAATGTGGTCTGGTGGTTAAGGCTTCAAGCTAGAAAGCAGGAGACTGTGAGTTCTAGCCCCGCCTTAGGCATGAAAGCTGGCTGGGTGATTTTGGGCCAGTCGCTCTCTCTCAGCCCAGCTCAGCTCACAGGGTTATTGCTGTGGGGAATACAGGAGGAGGAAGGAGTATTAGGTACGTTTACCACCTTGAGTTATTTATAAAAAATAATAAAGGCAAGATAAAAAATCATACACACACACACACATACATACACATGCACACCATTTTGACCAACAGGTGGTCAAAACAGACCTGGAGGAGACAGTTTTTAAAAGAAGTAACAGGATACTTGGAATCCCATCCATCCCACAGAGACCAAATTTAACTTCTGTCATTCTTTCCTCCCCTCTGCACTGGAGACTTGGCCACTGCTACTTTTTGTTGAGAAACAGAACTTTGGTCCAAATTATGTAATGGGAAGCCTTCACATAACTGGCCCATAAGACTCCCATTTAGAGCCTTTCCAAATGAATGGAAAAGACTCGTTCAGTGATCAAGCACTTGTTTTGTATACAATGGCTCCTACTAGATTTAATCTTTAGCATCTCCATGTAGCACTGAAAAAGCTCCTATTGAAATATTAGAAAGCCACAATCAGAAAATGTAGTCAAGACTTAACTTTGTTAAAGCTGTGGCCTGGCTCATTACTAGAAAGTGTCCATTATTCCTTCCTGCTTAACCTTATGACTAGTAAAATCCAAGAGTGCAGCACATCTTAACCATGTTGTCTGTACAGAACAGCAAGATCTATGATTCAGAAGAACAATTATGCTGCTTTTCAAAGATGACACATAGCTGGGATAAGTTAGTTTAGCAAAAGAGAATAGTAAACTAGGGAAAGCCTGCAGAGACAGAAATAGATAGGTAGCAGCTGGAAAGAGGAAAGTAAAGGTGATCTTTTAATTACTTTGTAATCAACCCCCTACTTATATATTCACAGATTAATTATGTCTCAGGAAGAATTTTATTTTCAAGAGAACCTTCTTTGTTTTATTTTATCAATCACACATTGCTTTACTTTTCACAAATATAAAACCTGCTACTCCAACAAGCTGAAAAATGAATGTAAGAAAAACATCAAGCCTTACAGTATGTTAACTATCAAGACTTAATATGCATTTCAAGCCCAACAAGAGAGAGAACATATTTTACAGATATATCTTTACAGGAATACCAAATGGATGACTTTATTCAAAACTACTCCCTACTAATGCCCTAAATCACCTTCTCAATTCAATCCATGAATATGTAGGTGGGAGTAGATCACAACCGCAAAGCATAGGTCAGTTCAGATCCCAGGGTTGCTCAAAGGAATGCTCTTCAAGCACCAAATTAAATCTGAATTGGCTGTAACCATGTAAGCTCCATTGTCCTCACTCTTATTACCACTGTTGAAATCATAGTGGAATTTCCTATTGGGAGGAGCCCTTTAAAATTCCCTAGACATGTTATAAAATAGTGCCAGGCTTCCTTTCTACATTCAAGGGAAGAGAAGGTGTAGAACATAACTATTTAGGTAAGGAGTGGTTTTTTTCCTTTTTTCCCCCTACTACATTCAGTAGCTGGAGGTAAAGATCCTATGATATCTGTAAGGCTAAGGGTTTTTTCTTTTGTTATTTTTAATCTTGCTCTGGAGCTTTTAGGGATGTTTAGAGGCTGTTTAAAGTGCATTTTGCCTTTCTGAAGTCCTCACACACTTTTTGTTTTCCCACCAAGAATGGTGACCAAGTTTGGGAATTTGCTACGGAATGGTGGGGAGCACAGTCTTGGGGGACTACAGTTGCTGCCTAGTTGTTACAGTTTTAAAAATTGATAATTCAGATTTCTAGGGCTACCCAACTCCTCAATGATCCTGGGTGGTGTACAAAGTTAAAAACAATCCAATTCAGAACAAAAAATGCCTCCCCCCAAAAGACAGTCATGACAGGAGGAATAGCCACAATGCTAAAATTGCATGCAAAACCAATCCCTTAGTGGAGATACTTCTCACCTAGCCCAAGGCCTGGGGAAATAGCTACTGTAAATTTTCAGGACTTGCTTGAAGGAAAGCAGAGACAGGACTGCTTAAACCTCTGGAGTAGTAGTTTTTAAACTGTTTGACTCAATTACCCCTTTTTCCGGTCTTGAATAATGTCATTACCCCCACAAAAAAACCAGTGCAGTGGCAGTCCCAAACTGGATGCTTCACTCACAAACAAATTGCTCCATTAACCACAGGATATGCCCAGATTACCCCCAGTTTAAGAACTATGGATGTGGAGGAATGCTATTCCTGAGGAGAGGTGCCACGACACTGAAGACATACCTCCTTGGTCCCCAAAAGTGTCATTAAATAATAGATGGGACCCAGAGCATGCCAATTCTCAGATTTTAGTGGGCTCTAGCTTTTAGAGCTAAAATCAACACAGAAATGAAATAGAGCATTGAGGTATGGAGAATAAACCAAAAGGTCTTCCTCCACTTAAATGAACACATTTGCCATAAGGGCAAAACCTGGAAAGATGTGAGCTATCATATGTGAAAAGCCAAAAGAAGCATTTAAGATTGAACAAATAGTTAATATAAATGAAATCCAAATACATCTGCTTATGCTGACTATGCAGCAGCTCACTGCGTAGGATTATTTTCATGATCACACTAGCCAAACCAAAAAATGGCAATTGTATAACTATCATAAACCATCAAAAAACTATTCTGGCTGCAACACAAGACTACATAGCTCTGAATATGATGGCTGCTTAACACTACAGTTCTTCACAATTTAAAATGTTGAGCATGAATGTCCAGGGTTGGTTTGCATTGGCCCATTCCTTTGTCCTCGGGCCATCATAAATCATTCCTATGTCAGCAGTCCCTGCTTCTAATTGATAAGGAGCAGAGTAATGACCACTGCTGAATGTTAGGATACACTTGCTGACTCTTTCTCTCATCAGCTAGACTCCAAGGAAAGTGTGACAGCATAGATAAAATTTCCTCCTGTTATTTTCACAACTGGGGACACAACTTGGACTTTGAAATCATGACATGACTATTTAGTCATTTTTATAACTAAGACTGGGATTTGAATCTGCATTAACCAAAAGCAAAATCAACATTCCAACCTTTATACTATCATCTATAGCTTGCTGTAAACAGGGCCTATAGAAAACAGGCTTTCCTCTTTTATTAAATACCAGTTAGTTGGCTAAGGATTGCCTCTTGAAGTTGTATGAGTGATTTTTTAATCAACCATAAAAAATGAAATTTAGGCTGACATTCTTTTAAGGTGGAGTGTAAACCCCTTGATTGTTTCTCCCTTTGTTACATAGCGTGCTTGCCATTTTGGAAATAAACTGAGGAACAGAAACAGTTTCTACTTTTCCTGTGTCACTTATTATAGGATAAACTAATGAAGCCCTACAACATTTAAGCACTGTACATAAGTCCTCTCCTGGGTCAAAACGTTTTTTTCCCCTGCTTGAAAGATGTTATAGTTAAATACCGAACGAGAAGAAATACAAGAGGAAACCAAAACAGAAATCCTTTGAGAGATTAAAAAATGGATGAAGAACAAAAACAAAATTTGTTTGGATTTACATATCGATTAAACTGATTGATGACTCCCCACATCAATAATGTTCATCTCCTGTTACATTCAATATTACAATTCAAATAGAGTTTTTGGAAGGATTTTGGAAGCCGCATGTGACTCTAAGGTCACATCTCCAAATTCATTTCTGTATCATCTACTTCTAACCAACTTGAAATGCCCTATTCTTCAAAACTAAGAGTTGTCTGGAGGAGGAAAAAAAACCTTTGGTGCCTCCTAAAGACTACATGGTTTGCCTCCATTAAAGCCTTAAAAATATTTTTAGTTCGTATTTCTAAAAACTGCTTTTAATTCCTGAGCAAGAACAGCTACACTTAAACAAGGCAAAAACAAACAAACAAACGCAAAGTGGAGCAAAATAGTCTGTAGCGTAAAATGTAATTTTGACTGCAACCCTCCATAATTGTACTAGCAAACGTTTCATTCAGGAAAGCATGCTTTGAGCATTGCTGTGGTTTTTGTAAGAAAAACAAGTATGCTTTGCAAAAAGAAAAGGAATAAAGAAGATGGAAGGAGGCTGACCGTTAACAAGAACAACTTTGCAGAAATGTGTGAAATATGATCTGGGTTGTATGCATAATAAAACAAGTTAAAAAGCTGTATTAATAATGAAGACAGTCCACAATCACTGTATTTGTACACATATCTGATGAATACATAAACTGAAAATAGAATGGATATTAATATTTCCTATTAGACAGAAATCCAAGGTCTAATTTTACATTAATTTATTCTCATTTATCCTTATGATTCTGTAAATACGCTATATTACATGCTTTTCCCTAAGTTCCATTTCAAAAAACACATAAGTTAGGAAGTAAATATAGACTCCAGGTCAGGC